CATCCCCCAATTCCCCAATAAGAATCTTTAAAAAAAACAAAAACAAAAACAACTTAATTTGTTTAAATTAAAATTTAAATAGTCATTTGTGGCTAGTGACTACTATATTAAATAGTGCAGGCCTAGCACACAAATCCTGCCACTCTCCCACAACTGCATACATTTTCTCAATGTTTTAAATTTTATATGTACTTGTTCTCAAATTATGATTGTGTCATGCACATTTATTAATTCCTCACTACAGTCCTTTGAATTTGGTACTTCCATCTTCATTTTATAAGTGAGGAAAGTGGCACCCAGAGGTGAAAAAAAATCAGCCAGCTAGTAAAATCTCAGCTAATCCATGGTAAAACTGGTATTCACACCTTGGTCGATTTGCCTCAAAATCCTCCTACAGCAAGTTCCTTTCCTATATATAGAGAAATCTCTTTACAGCACCCTTAATAATTCAGTATTGTGTGGTATGTGCTTTGTAAGCTTAAACTTCCATTTCCGATTGATGATGCCTTATTTTCTGATGTTATAAGAGGAGAGAACTGGTCTAAATTAAAAATTGTTTAGTCCTTAAATTGATGCTAGTTTTTCTTAAACCCCCCAAAAATATGTGCCTGAGCTGACCAAGTCATTGCAGAAAACCATCTCATTACCAGGGCAGCGAGAGGTGAAGCAGCATGATTTAAAAAATGAAATGAAAATGTCAACCTCAAATGTACCAAACTACAAGAAGGCAAAACAATAGCATAACTTTGCCTCTGGGAGAATCAGAGTGTTCTTTAAATCCTTTTAGATTTTACCATTATGAAGTCACAGAATAATTCAAATATAAATCTTTATAGAAGGCCAACTGATCTCTTTTATATATGGTAAGGCCAACTAATCATGTTCTCTTGCATATTTATATTTTAATGTAATCTTATGAGAGACTAAAAGAGGACGGAGCCAGACAACACTTTCACTGCTAATTCAAAAGGTAACTATATGCCCAGTGTGTATAAAACCCAATTCTATTTCATGTAAGTCATTCAGAACTAAATATTTTCTTTCTAAATGTTACTTTATGGCAGCCTGTGACTTTTGGCCCAGACAAAGAAGTGAGCGAAGCAACATCTGTATTTCATTAAAGATGTGCTTCCTTGTCCCTGACCCATATGATCCAAATTGATCAAACTGAACTCTCAACAGGTAACTTATCCAGATCATTTGACGGTACTGAAAAGAACATTGACTTATTCTATTTGTTATGAAAACCCTCAAACTTTGGAACAAAGACCCTTGAATAATTCAAAATGGAAACTTGAACAATAGCACAAAGAGGTACCTACATTTTAACTATTCTTCTACCAGGATCTAGACATCTCAAGACTCTTATTTTAAATTCTTCTATGGGGGTCATTTAGCTTTGGATGTTTCATTTGCCAATGGAGACAGATACAAATTCGTGGCATTTCTTTGCCTCTTTATAGCATATCTGTTAAGTTTCTATTACATGAAAGGTGCTGGGTTAAGTTTTGAGATATAGAAAAGTATAAGATTCAGTTCCTGTATTTTGTAATCAGTTTGACAATGTCTATAAATAATCATCACATTATATAAATTATGGAAATTAGTAAGTTTAACTCAAGACCAGTGTGGTATGGTGAAAAAGCTAGATTGAGGCCTGGGTTCAAGTCCAAGTTCCCTATTATTTAGTTTCACCCTGTGAAAGTGTTTAACCTCGCTGTGTGTCATTTCCTCATCTGACATAAAAAGACATGGTTCATCCTGTCTACCTTAAAGAAATGCTAAGAGGGGTAAGATAAAGTAATATAAGTAAAAATGCTTTGAAAGAGTGTAAAATGCTTTGAAAATGTCAAGCATTATACTATACTTCAGGAATATTTATGAAGTCATTTAATCACTTTTCCATAGGCTTTCAATTTTAACCCAGAAGCAAAACCTAAACTCATAAAAAAAAAGCAGGTAATTTTAAAATTCAAATAAAAGCTTTAATTTTCTAGTCTAATTTTTAAAACTTTATTCCATCTAACTTTTCCAACCTATCTTTAGCAGATGAGCTGAGCTGATTAGTTTGGCTTTTAACCCCAAGGGTTTTAGAAAATTTCTGGACCACAATGAGAACCAAACATATCACGTACCTCTTCCTCCCCCAAACCCCACCCCCCAAAATGACTGTAGTGGCCATTTCACTGTCACTATTTAGTTCGAAGAAATCATGTGGTGTTTTACAACTAGCAAAATCATTTAAAATGTGAAGTCAAATACTAGGCTAGCTTAGTTAATGCTGGCCAGGACAATGGAAAGCAACAGGGGCATAGAGAAAACATGTTTAGCTAATACAATGGAAAAAACAGACTCATTTTGATTTTCACCCATTTTACCTTCATTAGCCAGAGAATTGCCTCAAATTTCCACTTTCATTTACCTTTGAAAATATACATTTCTGTGTAGTTACTTCATTTAGTCCCACTTAGCTCTAAAAATAGGAACAAAATATCTTTTCAGAGGTAGTTTCCTGGCCATTTATTCCTTGGTTTAGCAAAATGATGCTTTTGTAAAAATGCAGCTGGTTTAGTAGGATGAAAATTTTATAATAACATAGCAGAAGAGGGGCCTTCTAGAAATTCTCCTGAAGGATTTGTGGCTCCGAGATGAACATTTCCTTCCTTGATGAGGAATCTTGATGGGAGAGTAGATGGTTTTCAAAAATAGCCAAGGTTATTCTGTTCCTTGCGTTCACACCCCTTGTAGTACATCTTTGCAGCTTCTCCCAGAAAAAGATGACCTCTACTGCCTCATCTCTTGAATCTGACCTAAACTTACGACTTGCTTTGACCAAAAAACATGGCAGAAATGACATTGTTTTGATTACTAGCCTAAGTCTTGTATATTTTGGCTTCCTGTGCCAGCTGCCATGTGCATAAGCCTGGGCTAGGCAGCAAGAGAATGATAGGATAGACCCAGTGGACACGAGACAAGCCATCCCAGACACCATCAAGTCAGCCATTCCCTAGCCGACTCAGCAGAGGCAAAACTGCCCCGGTGAATGCAGCCCAAACTGTGAAAACATGACTACGTAAATACTCTTCTAAGCCATTAAGTTATGGAGTGGTGTTTTTTTGTTTTTGTTTTCTGTAGTAAAAGCTAACTAATATGAATGACGGCCATGTGACTTTGTGGGAAAAACCCTACGTTGCGTTCCCTTGTTTGCTTTTCTCTTTTAACTTTTGGGAATGCTAAATGCGCAAAAATGCCTCAAAATGTATGCTGTGGTAAAATGTCCTGGCAAAGCAAAAAATGCCTGTAGTTATTTCCAGGAAGAAACAAAAATTATTTAAAAAATATACATGCAAATCTTCTATCCCATGGGAATGCTAAACTATTCAGGATTTAGGTACAGAGATTTTGTGAGTTTGGATTGTTTTTGGAGAAAGAAGACTACGTAAGACAAATTAGCTGGTAAAACATATAATCCTCTAGATTGAAAATATAGGACACTGGTCCTTGGCTTGCCTTGTGGAAAATATGTCGAGGCTCACCTTACCCCAGGTGGATGATGGAGGGCCGGATAATCAGTATGAAAGCTTAGCTTCCCAGTGGTGTAAGCCACATTGTTTGCATCGATTTTGTCTTGCACTTGCCAAGTATGTCTGTAAAATACAAGAAACATATGTTTAAACAGGCTGTCACTAGACCACAGGAAATGTGTTAAAATGAACTTGATCCATGGGGGAAATGGAAACTTTTCATTTTATAAAATGATTACCATAATGACTACGAGCCAAGGAAGAGGGTCTGACCTTACAATGTCTAAAGTAACCATTTCTGAATTAGCATCTCCTCATTGCTCTCCTCTCCAAAACAGAATACATTTGTCTATCCTACAGAGTTTATAGAGAGGTGTATGTGGAATTATAGGTTATGTCTTTTAATAGCTTAATGCCTTTTTATAAATGGTTTATTGAGGTGAAATTCATATAACACAAATGAAACCATTTTAAAGTGAGCAATTCATGGGCATTTAATATCTTTACAATGTTAGTAACCACCACCTCTATCTAGTTTCAAACATTTCCATCACCCTAACTAAAACCTCCTACCGATTAAGAAGTTTCTTCCCATTCTGCATAGTCATGGTACAATTTAACATGTTACCCTATCTTCTGTGTTCCTGGAAAGTTGGCAGCTAAATGCAGAAGCTTGGACAGACTCTATTTTCTCTCTTGGGCAAAACTATAGATGGCATTGTCTTATTTTCTCACAAGACACAGAATGTCTAGATGTCTTTCTTTTTGTGATGTTTGCATATGTTCATGCCCAATGGCTAAACCCATTATTTCATTGGGCCTTTCCAAAAGTGAAACACCAAATAATAATTTCTTTTTTATCTAATAGTTGAAAAATGTTTTAAAAGACCCACTTTCCCTCATTTACTATCTGATTACTCAATATAATAGTTACATAGGAATGACAGATAAATGCTTGATTTATTGAGCATTTTGCACCATAATAGATTCGTTTTCTACTACTCCGAGATGAATAATTAATTTAAAAAAATAATATTATTGATGAAAATGTATTAAAACTAGATAGAAGTAATGGTTTCACAACATTGTCAATATGCTAAATGATACAGAATGTACACTTTAAAATGGTTACCTTTATGTTATGTCAATGTTTACCTCCATTACCAACAAAAGAGCTTGGCTTAAAAGTTAAAACATGTTAATTAACAAAAGAACTAGGAATTAGTTGTAACTCTGTGACAAGAAAAGAAACCATTATTCAGATTTTGTAAGGCTTTTACCTCAGAAGATTGAGACAATGGGTAATTGGAAGGAAGCCATGCTCCCAAATGAATCAAAGTTGTCTAGAAAAAAAATTCACCATATATATATGCATGTCATTTTATTGCTGTTACAATGTCTATTTATTAATTTATGTTCACACTTATCAAATCATTTTTCAATAAATATATATTGAACACTTATTCTATTCCAGGCATTGTTTTACATTAAAGATAAAGCAGAGAACAAAAAAGACAAATTACCAAATCTAATATCATATAGAGATAAGTGCTATCGAGAAAATAAAGCAAGGTAAGGAGATAAAGATTAGGGGCCAGGAGAATATCATGGCAGAGATGATGTTTTGAGAAGTGGTCTAAGAATAGCTAAAAGTTTTCATAGAAACCTAAATAAAATCAGGGAAGAACTGTGAATTTCTGGGAGGTACATTTTAGGCAGAGAAATCTGAAGTGAAAATAGGGTTTCTTCCCCGTTCTCTGGGATTGAGGATGAAACTAGCTATTTTGTTCTGTTTTTGTTTTCTTTCTTGTTCGTGCCCCCCCCCCCATTTAAATTCAGGATGGAAAGCCTGGTATGTCTTTCAGTAAAGAATAAAGACCTATCCACATGTGACCATGAACTGCCAAGAGACCCAGTGAAAGGAGAAGAGGAGTAACTACAGCTAGCTGCAGACTCATTTCAAATTTGAGTCAGGCAATCCATTATATTTAATAACCATAGCCAAGAAATACATGTTCTCTAAGAAGTTCATGTCACTCCAAGTCCCATGTATAATACAGGTTCAGGCTGTTGTCAACATCAACATTCTAAGAGTTATTGCCACGTAAGGAGACAAAAAAAGGAATTTCATCAAGTTGTAGAATATATAATAACTTCAGACTAAGAAGATGATGCTGTTGACACTGTTGGTAGGAAATGACTATATTTAAATTTTCTTTTCAAGAGTGATGATGGTTTTGCATTGATTCACCTACATTGTCTTTCCTGGTTTCTCCTATGATTGAGGGTAAACTAACTGAGTTTTGTGGCAGCCAAGAGCTGGCTGAGATTCAAGGTGTGAGCTTCAGCCAGGGAACAGCTCTCTTCTTTGTTTGACATTAACTGGCTTCTACAGGGAGACGGCCTGTGACTTGGCTTCGTCCGAGCAGCTCTACAGCCCTCTGAGCTAACTAGCAGGGGATAATAAACATTTTTTATTTTTAGCCCTAAAGTATCTCAGGCACAGTATGGGATATGTAGTTTAAAAGTTTGTGCTCATACCTAATGATAAATCCCAGGAAAGGAGCCTGCCAATCCCAATCATAAAACATTCTCCTAATAGTTTTAGCATAAGTCTGAAAAAACCCTAGAAATGTATACCTTTCTCCCTCCTTATAGAAAGGAACCATGCCAACAAGGCTGCTGCTGATTTTCTGTGATTCTAAGCTTTCACTTATCCTTCTCAAATCCAAATCTCCAATGAAACACAGCAGAAGTAAATGTAAGCACGATCCATCAACCTGTGTAGAAATGATTTTTTAAAAGCCCACGTGTGGAGCTGTAGTGACATGAGGATATATGTATGTGCACCTCTCATTAGAGACATAGCCTAAAGTTGTTCTAAGTAAGGCAACAACTCAAGCAGATGATCAAACATTGTCATGACTGAAGCAGAGATGCAGGGAGAGATTGTCCTAGGAGTGAAGAGGCAGGCACCTTAATCCAATGGTACAGACTTGCTTGGTATTGTGCCACAAAAATCCTGCTTTTGCCAAAGATGCTATTGTAAACAAAGCTAAACAAACAAAGATGCTACGTGAAACAAACCATTGAGCCATTCATGTCATTCTCAGCATTTAACTAGAATGTTCCCTTATGGTTTTCTCTTCTATTCAAGGGTTTTGTCAAAAGCTCCTGTACATTAAAAGCATGATTTTTAGAGAATATTTCATGGGCTTGGTTGAAATGCTAATTCATTAGATTCACCCTAATCTAGATGACCAGTCATAGATATCATGATATTTCATGATATTTATAGTGTTTTGTGACAAGTTTGGAACCTTCAGTGATAATGGAATGCTTAAATATTATTTTGCAAGATTTGTCATTTGTACCCTTGGTGATAGATTTTATACTCTTTTTGGTTAGTGGCTGACTCTTGGAAAGTTATGCTGGATTTATTTGTAATCATTTTCTTTTATGAAGGACTACTTATATGAAAAGATGTTCTACACCTGTAACCTGGATTTATTATCACCAGCAGCTACAACCCCCAATGTTGACCAGCTGCAAGCTCTTCTTGCAAATTATGGAAGAATACCTTCTTTTCGAACATCATTGCTTATCTCATTGGATTGAAAACATAATGCTCATATCTTATTTTTAAAACTTTAACATGGACAATGATCTTCTAGCTAAAATAAACAAAAATAGTTTATAGTTAGCCATTCAAAAGAATATCATAGTGCATGTTATTTCTAACTATAGTTGTGGCACTTCTGTGTGTGACTTCCCAGGGGCAGTCCCTCACCAGAGCTGCAGCCATTTATTTTTCCATTCTCATTTATTAGACACATATGCTTGGCCAGGAACGGAGGATGCAGAAGAGCACAGACTTGCACCCCATGAAACTTACAGTCTACGGGGAAGACAAATTAGTGTGATTTGTTTTCCGAAGCTAAAGTACAAGGTGTCATGAGAGCAAAGAAATGAAAGTTAAATGGAGACCTGAAGATTGAATAGGATTTGCCTGAAAGAGTAAAGGTCATTGCAGGCAGAAGAAGGGCCTGTTAGAGGACCCAGAGAGAACATGGCCTACCAGAAGAAGCGAGAGAGAGATTCAATCTGCCCTGCGGTGGAGAGGGTTTGCTCTACATCTATTCTTGGTTTCCCTTCAAATTTCTGCGTCCCTTATGGTCCTGTAAAGTCTTACAAAAAAATATTTCATTATATTAGGGAACTGAGTTCAAACATGTTCATTATCCCATAGCAATTAACCCTCTATCAAAAATGTTTGTTGATTGAAAACATGGGCTCTCAAGTAGTGAATTGTGTTATTTTTCTGATAGTCTGATTATTAACTTTAATCCTGGCCTAAGGTATATAGTTTAGGTCTATTTATGCCATGAATACTTTAGCCATCAATTATTTTTATTGTCTTATTTCTACGGGAAGGGTAACAGTCATTTGTAAATAACACTTGGCAAAATTGCTAGAATTGTGTCTAAAAAGTCATTATCTTTTCAGTTCTGCTTGTATTATGGACACACATTTACATTGCATTCATTCCTAAATGTTAAAAATTTCATTCCATTTTGTAGATGAGAATTAATATCTCCAAACACAGACTAGAAAGACAGAAGTAGCCTTTCTTATATCTAGTATTGTTCTTACTCAGTGCATTAAGCTAATATGGACATCTCCATGAGACATAAAGATATAGAGTAAACAAGGCAGATGCTGGGGTTCTGGTGGTGACAGTTTTCAATTTCTCTGAATTTTCTCTGAAAGACATCTAAAACACAAACCTCCAAACTCATCAAATCAAACAACATCAAATCAAAACTAGGTGAGTGGGGGCCGGCCGAGTGGCGCAATGGTTAAGAACTGGCTTGGGATGCCAGAGGGCCCCGGTTCGGATCCCACATATGAGGGCCAGTGACACTGCCC